AAAAAAATCACTCTAGTTTTATTGAGTTTTTATTCTGTAGAAATGTTGCTCAGTTGGAGTTTTATTGAGTAATTTTATTGGATTCATTCGGAATTTTGCTCAGTAGAAGTTTTATTGAGTTTTTACATGAAGCATTTAGTTTAGGTATTAAGAGAGTTTTCAAAGTACATATAAGCTTTGAAGTATATAGTTTTTTTAAATAGCAATATTATCAAGAGAAGAGTTAGTTTTGTAGTACTTACCTAGTTTCTTCCGTCCATTTTCCTTTATTCCTTTTTTTGAGTTTTTTTGTATGGGGTTTTAGTTTACTCAGTTTATCACATTTCTCTTTTTTCATACAGTTTATCACGTCTTTTTTTTTACTGGAATTTATTAGTTTAGCAGCAGTTTCCTATTTTTTATTTTTGCACGCTTTGATCGGCCAATTATCAATTTTCTTTATTGATTTGATTTGCTTTGAATTTTTTTTATAAAAAGTATTTGCATATATATATATATTTTTTTTTGTAACTTCTATTTGATCGGTTTGAATAACTAAAATCAAGTTTCGTTTTTCTTTAATTCAAAAAGGGCAAAGAAACCATTATAAGCTTTAGTTCACGTTTTCTGCATTTACTTCATTTTCTCTTTGTGGTTTCCTTTGCCCACGTGTAATAACTTTTTATGGTCTTCAAAACAAAAAAAAGGTGAATTTTGAATTCATGATTTGACTTTACTTTCTTTATACCGAATCACGTAATTTTAAGCTCACTTTAGTTTCTTTACGCTTAAGAAAAAAAAATAAAAATTTTATTTCACTTTTAAACACCTTTTTTTGCACATTTAATAACTTTCCGCGATTACTATCAGGTGATCCGCCGTACTAGCGATACTATTCCTAGTACCGACACGGTAGGCTAGTACTTTTATGTATAAGAGAACTTATGAATATACGTATGTAAGGCTTTCTTCCCCCCCCCCACAGAGGCTCTTCTCCGGGATGCTGGTACCACCATCGAAGGAGCGGACAAAGTGAGTGAGTACTTGTTTTAATTTTATTTTCTCTCATGCATATTTCGATACATGCTTATGGTTTGAGCAGTTATACATACGTATGTACATACTCAAGTGAACTTGTTATCGTATATACATATAAGTATATATATATATATATTTATATACATATATATATAGATGAGCGAAAATTACAATTTAATGAAAGAGTTGCGAGTAGAAAACCAGTTTTAGCAAGATTGTTGTTGTTTTTTTATGCAGGGATAAGTTTAGGGCTCGATTAAGTAAGTAATATTTGCTTTTCTTGCATGTTCCCTTTTGGGGGCCTTCGTTTATTTTTTTTTTATTTTTTTTTAATTAGTTGATTTATATTGTTAATAATACCTGTCTAAGTATGTACATATGCTCATGAATGGATACTTGTGTACATATATAAATAGCAATGGGATATTTGTGCGTTATTCTCAGGAAAGAAAATTTTAGTGATACGAGGGTAGTTTAATTTAAGTTGAGCTCAG